GATGTTCCCCTCCCTAGGACGGCTATTTAACTCCAACTTGTGACAGCAGCTACAGGGTCACCCTGCAAAGCCACAGGGGCAGAGCTGCCCAAGACCTAGGGAGCTCACCCCTTGCCCTAGTGTGCCCTGGATGTGGCCATGGAGTCAAGGATTATTCTGGAGCTTTAAAATTACGACTGCTCTGCAGGGGGTTCACACTTGCATGGGGCTTGTTGCTCTTCTCTTTTGGATGATGTATCCCTTTTGGAATGAGAATGTTTACTCAATGTTTGTACCACCATTGTATCTTGGAAATAAATAACTCCGTTTTATGTGAAGGAATTGTTGTGGTCCCTATGAAGACTGTTAAACTCCACCTTAGAAGTCAGTATCAGTTTCCAGACACATACAGTACATGTATGGCTGTTCAAATAATTTAATAGTAGGTATTCCTTGGCCTCAAAGAGTGAGATAACTATTAAAGCTTTTGCTTTCAAAATTATGTAGTGTACTGTCTACAAGCTAGGAACATCATACACTCAGGTTTGTATGTAATATTTCTGATTTATGTCTTTTCCCCCAGCATCTTGTTTAGTTTTACTTTTGTTTTATACATTTTCATTTCTAATGAAGTATTAATCGTTGCAATAAAATAGTATTTTTTTTTTTTGAGACAGAGTCTTGCTCTGTCACCCAGCCCGTGGTGCAGTGGTGCAATCTCGCTCACTGTATCCTCAATCTCCCAGGCTCAAGCTATCCCCCCACCTCAGCCTCCTGAGATGCTGGGACTATAGGATGTGCCACGACACCTGGCTAATGCTTGTATTTTTTTGTAGAGATGGGGTTTCACCATTCCTGATTTAACAATGGAGAAAACAATAAATATATACAAACAGCATTAGATTGAACTGATTATATTATTTGACTGGATATATATTAAAAACTGCTTTTTAGTTTGAGCAGTTCATACATAATCAAAATTTTCAATGATCTGATTTCAGAAACACAGTTTTATTATAACATCTCATTTTCATATATTCACCCAAAAGTGTATGTATCAAAGGGTTATAATAACTATAATAAGATCCCTATGTTTCCTATTTTATTTATTCTTATTTTTGGATTAGTGGCACGATGGAGAAATATTATGTCCAATGTTTTTGTGTTATTATTTATTGTATAGTTAGAAATAATTGTTACATTGAACAGTAATATTGTTTGGTTTAGCAAGTTCCAACATTGGAAAATTCTTCAGCAACATAAATATACCATGTTGATGGTGCTGGTATATTAATAATATGTCATTTGTTAGTTATTAGAAAGAAACCAAGTCATTTTTGAATACCCCAAAGGTTATAAGTTAAATCCTATTCATTTCTCATACTCTTAAGAATTCAGTTCAGTTATTTCTCTGAAGACACTGTGAAATCTTGGGTTACTACAGTTGGCAAGGAGACAGTTACGTGAATTTAGTTGCTTGGCAGGGTTCAGAAACTAGTTTGTGTGAACTGAAATTGCCATTCCAAAATTTCTATTCATTTGGATGCATTTAGAGGTGCCCTTTGTCACTATATCTAATTCCTATGATACATGTTTGGTATGTTGGTTTCCTCCAGAATATATGGAAGTTTCTATTATTACACTTGTTTATTTATTTAACCTGCTAAAGCAATAAGGCATGAGAAAGACTTCTGTGGTATGCTTCAGTGGCCTTATTATTTATATGAACATCTCCAGTGGTGTGATGTCATTGAAATAGTTATTTGGTTATTACTTTTCTCCAATAACTAGTTCACAGCAGAGTAAGTGTAATTAAAAATATATAGTTGTAAAATACAAGGAAAAAATAAAAAAAAATCAACACATCTGTTGCCTAATTTACTTTTAAAATGTTTCTTTCTTTTGAGACTTTGGCTTAAAAAGATGTTCCATTCTCAATCCCTGCATAAGCTGGCTATAATGATTAGGGTACATGTGTAAAATCTGGGTTTTTCTAATGATTGCAATGTGACCCTCCTCTAACTTGAAACAGTATTTATGTATATTGGAATTTGTAACTTTGGCAAGGCATTATCTTGGAATACCACAAACTTTGTAGGTATGAGATTCTTGTAGACAAAGAAGAAAATGGGCATGACATAGAGACGTATCACCGATAATCTAACCTGTCACAGAAGAAGCTCTGTGGCACAATACACGGAAACAGAATTACAGTTGTACCACCCAACTGAGGGATACAATTTCCTGTCTGAGGAACTGCTGTGAGAGGTAATACATTCAATGTTGCACATGTTCCACGGTCAAACACACAGACTAGATTTAACACAAGCTAACTCTAACAATGAATCTGCTATCATAACTGAAGAATCATGACATTTTCATTTCATGCCAAAAATATCATTTTTGAGTGCCATCTCAAAAAACTAAGAAAAAAGTGAAATAGTGTTATCTTTGATGGACAGTAGAGAGGAAGAGTTTTAGCTTTGTAAATAGAAAGCAACAGAGTGTTATAGACCACCTGTTTCATTAGCTGCACAATTAGGAATTCCACTTATAAAAATGTTGGAATGTCTGGGAAGGATGAATCATATCTGACTGTAGAGATGATTATAATTAAGTGAGAAGTATAGGCAAGACTTATCATAGACATTTATTTATAAACAGATAATTAAAATGTATAGGAATTTTCTTGGAAAGCTATATAGTTTCTAATAATTATACAGTGGTTTATTGAATGTCTTTATGATTATTCTGTTTTATAGTTAATATCTTAAGTTAATTTCCTTAGTTTCTTGTATCCAGGAAGTTGGTCACTTGACCAAATGAAATCCTGATTTTGTTCAGGTACTTTCAAAATCATATAACATTTATTCAGGAACAAATATCTTTGGCATTATATTCTAATATTCATGCATGGTCACAACAGCTGCTTTCAGAGTCTCTTGGTACCCTACAATCCAGGTATATTTGTCTGGAATTATTATAATCATTTTGTTTCTTAAAGGTCAAATTTTTCTCTGATATCTTTATGAAATACCCAGAGTGTGTAAAAATATCACGGTCACCTTATCAACTGTGATTCTGCTTTCATAGTGAAGATTCTACTAATACACTGCATTGATTTGGAAGTAAAGCTTGTTTTCTTGTTGGATTCTTGGGTTTTATGTGTCTAGTACACACACACACACACACACACGCATGCATGCATGCACACACACTCAGGTTACAAGAACACATGGACACAGGGAGGGGAACATCACACACCTGGGCCTGTCTGGGGGTTGCGGGACAAGGGAAGGCACTATGAACAAAATGGTATGGCACTTCTTGAGTGTTTAGGGGCCCTCCTCAGTAAGGTTACAATGAATATTATTGTATCACTTCCTTCCAAATGCCCTGGATGTGTGTATAGCTCAGAAACCTTAATTCCTTCCTACTTTAGTGTATTTCAGAAATAGCAGTTTGGGAATGTGGGTCTGTTTCCTTTCTCATAAGATGGAAACTGATAATATCCAGAGTAATAGCCCATGACCATTGCTTGTTTCGATGCCTAAAGAAGATATGGTATCTTGTATTTAAAATTGCCAAGAATTTGATAACAATATAAAAATGAGCCCTAGAAGTAGACAAATCATGATCTATTTCACATTAGTGCAGAATCAGAAACAAGATAAGAGTCCAATTTGTAGACCTAGATCCCTCAGGTTTTAGGTCCGTAAAATCAAAGAAGTAAAATTACAGCTGTCTGGGGTAGTATTTTTCTGTTCCTACTCTATTGAAAATCTGCCTGTGTGAAAAAGCTGCCTTCATAGGACAATAGGATTATTTTCATGTGGGACCTGTCTGGAGTTTTTGACATTCCTACCCCAACCCCTACCAAAAGAATTTTAATAGAAAAAATATATAAATGTATTAAAAAGATAAAAACAAAATAATAGAATACCTGGATCTACATTATTTTTGTTGTTACCTTTTTACTTTGATAATTAAGACCCAAAAAGTATTCTCTAAAACCAACTATCTAACCAACAACCAGCAAGAGAAGATTAACATTTGGAATTTTCTTACCTTTATTCAGACTTTTCACTGCTCAAACCAAGCAGAGTTCACCTGTATCCAAGAAAATGTTCATGAATTTACTGTACTTTCGTTGTCATGCTCAAACCCCCTGCAAAGAATAACTACTTCAAAATTGGCCAATAAACTGCACAAAGAGGAGCATAAGAGTTGAACGCTTCACAAAAACTCCCACAATAAAATGCGGGAGGCGAGTGATGTTATAGCCATTTTTATAGAGACTCTTTTCTATGATTCACACACATAAGGGAGATTACAGAGAGAGGGACAAAGAGGGGTGACTTAGTATTTGTAGCAACCCTGGGATTAAGAAACTTGGCTAGAAAGCCAAAAACATTTGTCTCTGAAATCTAGCTTGATGTTTAATGTCCGATGTATTAGTCTGATTGTCTAAAGGGTTCAAGTCCAGGTGACTTAGTATTTGTAGCAACCCTGGGATTAAGAAACTTGGCTAGAAAGCCAAAAACATTTGTCTCTGAAATCTAGCTTGATGTTTAATGTCCGATGTATTAGTCTGATTGTCTAAAGAGTTCAAGTCCAGGGTGAAGCAGAATAAAAGATCTTTGCTCCGGTGTTAATCATGATGGCACCTTAGTCACCTGGAAACATTGGAATATCTGACAGAATTTAGTCCCAATAACTAAGACTGGTTCTCATGAAACCAGTAGAAAGAAAGATGCCTCTATGAAAGGTAAGCACACAAATAAGTTGGGGTGAGCATAAACAGGTTTACCACAGTAGGTAAGGGGCACACTACTTGGGTTTTTGAGATATCATCAATCATGATTCTGCTCTTGCTGCCTCTCTAGCTCCAGCCCTTTGTACCGCTACTTCGACCAGAATCTGGAAGCTGGTAAAATCGGGATACTCCTCTGGAAACACAGGTTCTGGAGAAGATGGGGTTGTGTTGGTAGAAACCTTGACCTTTTTCTTTGGCTGGGCTATCACGGCGAGCTCCTCGCTAGAGGCCGACCCTGGATCTGGTAGCTTCTCTCCTGACATCTGGCCCATTGGCACGGGCCACAGGGATTGTACCTTGTCTGGATCTCTGGGCCCTGACTTGGCAGACATGAAGTCATCGGTGTCCTGCAGGTGGGTGTCATCGTCATCTTTGCCCATTTCCTGATCAACGAAGGAGTCATTTCTAGACTGTTGAAGCATCTCTGGAAGAATGCGTCTGCGAGCATTGATGAACCAGTTAGAGATCTGGGACAAAGACAAATTGGTCTTCTCCGACAGCATTTGCTTCTCCCCTTCTGAAGGGTAAGCCCTAAACCGATGCTTATACATCCAGTCGCGGAGAATCTTAACAGACGCGACTGGCAAGTTCCCCTTCTTCCGGCGCCGTGGTAAGGTAAGAGGTTTGTCTATATCTGCGTTACTTCTCGACATGATTGAAGTGTCTTGGGCGAGGCTTAGGTTGTCCGCCGGTGTTTCGTTTTCCATTGGGCTTTGGATCTCCGCCGCGTCTTCTGCAGCAGCCTCCATATTCAAAAGGCTTATCTTTACTATATTGGGAATCACAGACAACTGAGTTAGGACAAAGGTAACTCAAACGGATAGTCACTTTAGAAAGCAAGGGCAGGTCTCCAAGGAGAATTCTCACCTCTTGCTTCCCACGCAGACAAACAGCGTTGCTAACCGCTTTGCTAACAGAGGAGCCAGGTAGCTCAGTGACGTCACATCCTTTCTTTTGCACGCTGACCCTCCCCCACACTTCCTGGGCTTTCTCGGTTCCCAATGTTCTTCTGCATTTTCTGTAATTTCCAATGCCCTTGTTTGCATGCAGTTGATAGCTCTCCAGAGTTTTCTCTGCTGTTGTCACCAGTGTCCACTAACTGACGAACTCTATTTCTATGAGTGTTAATATGCCTATCACTTTCTTGCTATTTGAATTTTACTCTGGTATTGCTCTTCCCTCCTGTTACTTATAATTGTCTCATTGGCTCATCCAGGTAGATCAGGAACAAATTGTTGATTAGCCATTAACCTCAATAAGAGTGTAATTATTGTACTTTGATTCCTCCCGTCCATGTTCAAAGCAGATATTAATAATAATTTTGAACCAGACTTTTGCTTTTGATGCCTTGCCGCTTAAGATTTCTTTTCTGTGGCCTTAAAATCTTTGTCTTTTGGTGACTTTGCTATTGTCTGTCAGTACCACTGAGGTCTTTGTCTCTGTTTCTTGGACTCTGCTATCTAGTTGTGGTGATTTTCTTTAAACTTCAGTCAGAAATTTGTGGGTCTTTTAGCAATGTGGAGTAAGTAGAATAAGATAGGATTCAAGAAATATTGGTGATCACAGTTTATTTAATTTTTTTTTTTTTTTTTTTT